TCTTACTAAAAAAGTGACATATCTGTGTTGTTTTAAATGTCACTACTTACAATATGTTGGAAATTACATCTTTGTCCCTACTTAAATTTATGATGCACAATGTTAGATGGGCACTCAGGTGTGCACCCACAAGCACAGGATGTCAGGACTAGCTGAAGGACTCGCTGGGTCACAGGCAGACCTATCTGGGAGTGTCAGGAGAAAGGCTCGTAAGCAGAGGCAGCTAGCTACCACAGTCGCTGGAGTAACCCTGGGCCTGGGGGACAGTCTCTGGTTTGATGGAAAGGCCAGGGGAGGATCTGAGGGCCAAGGAACAACGGCACAGGAGGAAGTTCAGGTGGGACTGGTGTTAACCAGCCCTGTCACCCAGCTGGGAGGTAAGATACAGCCGGTGTCACAGGGCCAGGGGCTCCAAGTCCAGTCCCACTTCTCAGTGAGCCTCAAGTGCTTTTGGTGGGCACAGTGAGCTTTAATTCTGGGCACACAAGAAAACCATGAAAAACAGAACAAAAATAATAAAGCATACCTTTCAGGGCTTGACCCAGGGGATACAACCCCGCTCACCACAAAGTGACCTCCAGAACAGCACTATGCTATTTCACAACGCCATTGTTCATAACTGAGTCAAAGTGCGTGGGAGGACACCGGACAGGGACTTGAAAGTCACTGCTCACTATGAGCTATGCACTGGCCTAGGCCCTCATACTTACAACCATGATTTCTAGCATTCTTACCAGGTGTCACAGCTCTGGGTACTTCTCATGAATGAACTCACTTAGTCCTCACCTGGGCCCTGGGTGGAAGGCACCACCATCACCATACCCATTTCAGAGATGAGGAAGCTAAGATCTACAGAGCTCATCCACACTTAAGCCCCCAGCCTGGCCTTGGTGTAGCCAGTAGTTGGGCTCGAGCTCTATGGATGGAAACTACATCGGTGCATCCCTGGCAGCCCCAGGGGACAGGAGACCTTACTTAGCTCCACCCCCAGGAGAGGAGTGGCAGCCGTGGTGCCACGCTGAGACGGCTGTTCATCCTCCTCCATCTGCAGCTCCCTCTGCTCAAGGAGGAAGTGGGGATGTCAATGTGTTTCCATTTATAGCAGTTCAAAGAAAACCTTAGGACGTTTTGGGGGACAGCCCCATATGGGCCCCATGGGCTTTAGCATTTGCTCTATGCAGCTCCCTTCTGCCATGAAAACTGTGGAATCCCCAGTGCTGAGTGCTGCTAGATGCACCAATAGGAGAATGAGGGTAGAAGAAGGAGGTGCCCTTCAACACTCAGTCCCTGGAACCGAGGGAAACACCATCCCCAATCTGCCCTGGGAGACCTGCTGTCTCCATTGGCCAAATGGGAGAGTATGGCCACCCAGCTAGGAAGCAGGGAGTGAGCACCAGATCCCAAACCCCAGAAACAGAGAGACCATGGCTAGGGCTTCACACAGATGGAAGGACAAACCTGTTTCTCCCAGCACACCCACTCTTTGACTCCACATTTGATACTAATGAGCAGAGCCTGGCTCCCCAGGCAGACTTCAGGCCCTGCCCTTCTCATGGCCTGGGTATGCCACCTAGTCCTGGGGCTGCTCTAGAACCCACACTCCATCCATCCTGGGGAGGTTACAGCTCATCGTGTGTGGGCATGAGGTGGAAAGACATAGCACCATGTTCACACCTGCCCCAGAAAAACACGAGCTCCTGGGACCCAGGTAGGACTTGGTGTGGCCCTCGGGGCAACAGCGGCAGGAGGCCCCAGGAACAGGGAAATAAAGCGAGCATGAAGACAGAGACTCATGGACCAACCCACGGCCACCAAGGAGGTCCCCCCGCTAAGGCCCAGGACCTCAGGACCTGAAGCCCTGGGAAGGGGCCTCTCTACAGGGGGCTTTTTTCCTTGGCTTCAAGCTGTTTCCACGTCAGGCTCAAGCACACAGGTTAGGAGTATGCTACTCATTTAAGAGTATAACTCAGGTTTCCAAGTGGACAGAACTTCACAGAAAGCACTTGAAGAACAGAAAAAAGGCAGCCCTAATATTTCTACCCACATAGTCAAAGGACACCTAAGTGAGTCCTTCTGTGTTCATGCAGAACCGCAGATTTGATTTTCAACTGTACTTCAGTCAACCTATAAACTATTATGTTGTGCCCACACCACCGTCCCTTCCCCGAGGAGCCCGTCAAGGGGACACGGAGATAGGCAGAGGATCCCGGCCTGCAAACAGCTGAAAGGGTGGAAAATAGAAGGAGGAGGTGGGGAGCCTTTGAGGGAGACTTTGGGTTGGTGCCTATGCAGGGCTGTTACCTCTGGGTCTGCAGGGCCCATTCTCTGCCCAGCTAACCTGAGGCTGGCTGGGTTGGCATCACCCAGAAAGCAGGAGAACACGTGACACCTCAGGGCAGGTCCCTCCCTCAAGCCCAGCCTAGCAAGCCATGAGCCAAGAAACATTCTGGATACAGGATGCGGGCTGCCAGCAGCCCCTCTTTATGAAAACCAGCCCTCATCTGTTCCCAAAGTCGTGGGGAAAAAATCTAGGCAAGTAACATTTTCCGAGGAAGCATTTTTCAGATACGCTAGCTGAAAATGTTCTCCAAGGGCGATTTTTTTTTTTTTTAAAGACTCAGCCTAATCCATGCCCATGTGCGCTCAAAAACTAACATGTATATTCCCAAGCTATTTTCTTGGTAGAATTTTCAAAGGTTCTCAAAGAAGATTCCAAGGCAATGGAGCTCAAATAAAGCCATGGTGACCGGATCTAAACAGAAAGAATCCTAATCACCTTCAATCAGTTGCTAGTGACCAAAAGGCAAAACAGCCAGCAGACTAGGGGGATCCAGGCCTAGCCAGGGGCAGAAGCCAACCAAGGAGGCATGCTAGAAGTAACCAGTATGGCAGAGTGGACGCCATTAGGACACCATTTGCTGACGTGTGCTTCCTGTCGTGACGGTGTTGCTTCTCAAGGCAACTTTAACTTTAAGTTTTAAGTCCCTTCTAACTTTAGGGACTTAAAAATATGACCAGTCACATCCTGGGGGACCTCCGCCCCGTCACTCAGTCTTAACAGCATTTTTTTGCCAAAAGTCTTATTCAGCCGGAGATTACAGAAGATGCTGGGAGTGAAGCAGCATCAGGAGGCAGGCAGCCCATCCTCTGCCGCTCTGATAATTATTAGCCAATAGTTAGTGAGGCCCACCATGGGCTCCATCCCTACCAGACACGCATGCTGTGGTCACTCGTTGCCTCCTAATTTTAATCCTAAGGTCACTGAAGGTTTATGAGATGCAACATTTGCTCAAGGTCACCCAGCAAGTGTGTGTCGGAGACAGGGCGCCTACTAGACACGCATCCAGACGGTCTAATTTCAGAGCCCTTCTCTTGACTGCTTCGAGATACTCCCTTGTGTGGCAGCTCACAACCGTGGAAAAATGAAAAAAATAACAAAACCGTTGGACAGGGAAGGAAGACCAGGGTGCTGGTGAACTGATGAATTAAAAATCATAATACGACCTTCAGTGGATGCTATAACGGGTGAAAAATGAGCTAAACAAGAGAATATTCACATGGTCTCAAAGTTCACCCCACCGATTACTAATTAATTATAAGGAATGAAATAATAGTAATTTATAAAGGAGAGCTCTGGCAGAAACCACATGAACCACGTGAACAAACTAGTCCTCACCAACACCAGGTCCCAGTGACATGCTGGACCCATGGATGTCAAGTAAACACACGAAATGTGTGCTGAACCTAAGCACAAAGAAACAGCCAGACAAATCCAGACTCTCCTGGAAACAAATGGCTTAGGTTCTTCCAAAATGTCAAAATCACAAGAGAGAAAAAGTAAAAGCGCTGTTCTGCTTGAGATGTAAAGAGACAGAACCAAATTCAGGACATGATGCTCAGCCAAATGCTGTGTAGGGAAAACAGCTATGAAGAATATTCTGGGGACAACCAGAGGCATTTGAAAAGGAACTGTATGTTGGAGAAGATGACTTTATTGATGTTAAATTCCCCAGTGATAATGGTGCTATGGTTTTGAAGAAGAAAGCCTATGGATGGAGGAGATATTTCCCAAAGTATGTCATGTGTCGGCAACTTACTTTAAATGATTCAGAGAGAAACACTGAACACACATACATACCACACATGAGTACATATTCCATGTGTGTGTGTGTGTGTGTGTGTGTGTGTGTGTGTGTGTGCATTTGTCTTTGTGGGTAAACAACTGGTAAATCTGAGTGAAGAATATATGAGCGTCCACTTTCCATTTTTTAATAGATGTAAAATTTATCAAAATGAAAATCAGGGGTGCCTGGGTGGCTCAGTGGGTTAAAGCCTCTGCCTTTGGCTCAGGTCATGATCCCGGGGTCCTGGGATTGAGCCCCACATCGGGCTTTCTGCTCAGCAGGGAGCCTGCTTTCCCCCCACACCCCTCTCTGCCTACTTGTGATCTGTCAAATAAATAAATAAAATCTTAAAAAAAAAATGAAAAGCAGACCAAAAATAAAATGTTTGTTCAAAGAGTCATAAGGCAAAAGAACTACTATGCTATTAATCAACTAGATAAAAACTGCATTTTGGGATAAGAACTAAGAGGAAACATTAAAAAGGAAAGTATGTGAAAGTGATAAGACTACTGTTGTTTAGATTAGTCTTATAATACTTTACAAATCAATCATGATAGCAACAGAGGGCAACAGAATTACTTCATAAATTTTGTACTAGTGCTAGTGTAAATCAAATTACTTTTCTGTTGTTCACTACAGTCATTTTTTTTTTGAGAATAATGTTTATCATTCTAAATGCAAATTCTAGTGCAATACGAATCTCATTTCATAACTCGTTCTCAATGGATTTCCGGGAATAAATAACCCCATCCTTGGCTTTAGATCTGATTTCCAGGCAATTTGCTCCAAGGACCAGTACAAGGTCTGTTGCTAGAGGCGTTGACTGCACATGCCCCTCCAGCACAGTCGCTTGGGACCCACAAACATGAGACTTACTTTTCAGACACTGTGATTCTCTGGAGGCAGGTGGCCGTCAGGCATCCAGGGCAACGGCGCACCGTCCCTGCTGGAAATGGCCCATTGTTGCCCCAGTGAATGGTGTGAGACTGCAGCCCCTGAGAACTCTGGAAAAAACACAAGAATAAAAAAAGAATGTTCACATTTCACTAAAAGTGAGAATTTAAAATATAAGTTTTAAGAATATATATTTTTTATATTTTAAAAATTAAATGTAATTTCAAATTTAAACATCATTTTAAATATTCAGTATGAACTTGAAACGGTCTTGATAGTGAACCCCGCATCCCTGTGTCCCCCTTCTTAACTCACCTTCCCACTCTTTAAGTTTTGAAATAGGCGCGGGCATCTGGAGGGAGGTCAGGATAAATGGGAAAGGTCTCCCCAGTGGGTGACTGTGAGAAGTGACTGTGGGTGAGAACACACGAGGAGCTCTCATGCTATGCTGATGTTCCAGGAGAGGAGCACAGTGCTTCTCAGAGGGACTCCAAACAAAGCCTCATTTCTGACATTCCATGGGACTCTCAGGTGGTGTGGTCTATGAGGAATCTCGAAGTCAGGAAGCTGTTAGTGACCCCTGCCTGGACCGTGGGGCATCTAGGTGGTCATGGTGATGACCACACCTCGGTCCTGGCAGGGTGCACTGTGCTCCATATGGAGGGCAGGGGGGTCATGAAGAACATTGTGAATGGAGAGGGTCCCTGTGGACCACACCTCCATCCAGGTGGGTTCAACTTGCTCTGTAGCATCTTGACTTCTGAGATCCACTCACTTATATGCCATGTGGAGTTATCAGAGCCCTAAGATGCTCTTAAGCTAGGAGGCCTGCGACTTCACAGGTGAGGGGAGGGAACTGGGTCACATCTGTGCGCCCTACACAGACTACACCATGGGGTACAGGAGCCCCTCCTTCCTCTATGATCACACCTAGGCTGTGGGTGAAGTCTGGGGATCCTGCCTGTGTTTATGGAATGTCTATGGTGTGCCCAGAGGCCTGGGATGGTATGTCCTGTCCCTGTAGTTCTAAGCTCCAGATCCCTGGCTGGCTTCCCCTTTGATATCTCCCACCCAGTTGGAGAAATACCACGTCTTCATAAGCATAACTGCTTTACTTTCAACATTTCAAAGCTAATGCGATGGACTCCCTCTTTTTGGTGGTTTTTACCTCTTACTAAATATATTTTGGTCTTGTGTTTACCTTCCCACCTTGAATTCCACTCTGCTACTTGTCTTGTTGCTCCTTGTTCTTTTTATAATACTGCTTGTAATAGTTTTGCCTATGCCATTGTATTTTTTAACCTCTTTAGGCCATTTTTTTTTTACTCAATTTTAATTCTTCATTCCAGTATCTGTCCTTTAATTGGGGAGTTTAACCTGTTCCATTTTTATTTTTGAGTAGCATTAAGAGAAGGAGAGGGAAATGACTGATATATTTGGACCTTTCCCAAAATCTGTTTTAGTACTTCCTATCTCTCAAATTTTATGGTGTTATTTTCTTTACTGTCTTCAGTTGACTTGATTGGTCTTATTTTTCATTTTCTAGAAGTTATATATCTTATCTTTCCTTCTAGTGTTTGTCTTAAATTTGTTACACACACAGGTATATTAATCTTTTTTTTTTTTTTTTTTTTTTATCCTGAGAATCGATGAATAGATACAACCTCTAATTTCCACACAGGATAAGACCATTAGTTCAATGTAATTTCCTTTCCTTCCTTTGCTATCTGGTATATTTTGTTAAAATCGTTTAAAATACTCTGAAGTGCTTTTAATTTTCATGCTTCTAGTTTCTTAGGGATCATTTCTTAACAATCATCTTAAGCTTCATGGCTACACTGTTAATAATTACAATACATGATTATGTTTCACTGTTTGTTAATTAGTCATAGATAATTTACATATCTTGTTTCTCCTTTATTTAATTAATTTTTTTATATTACTACAGGGAGTTTTCGAGTAGCTCTTTCAAAATGGTTTCATGGATAATACATTTTCTGAATTCCTAAATAGAAATGGGAAGAGACTGAATACAAAAGAGTGAGACTCCATAGGCAAACCATCTTGATAAAGAGGAGCAAAGTTGAAGGTGAAATAGTTCCTGATTTCAAAACTTACTGCAAAGCCACAGGAGTCAAAATAGTGTGGTATGCATGTAAAGACAGATATATGAGGATTCTATCTGGGATAGAATGGAGAATCCAGAAATAAACCCTCACATCTATGGGCAAATAATTTTCAACATGAGTGTCAAGACTATTCAATGAGGAAAGGACAATGTTTTCAACAAATGGTGTTGGGAAACTGGATATTCACATGAAAAAGAATGAAGGTGGGTTCTTACCTAACACCATATATAAAAATTAACTTGAAATGGACCAAAGACCTACAAGTAAGGGCTAAAACTATAAAACTCTTAGAAGAAAATTAGGAGAAAAACTTCATAATGTTGGATTTATTTGATTTTTGGGGGATCAAAGCTCAAGTGATAAAATAGTTGGACTTCATCAAAGTTAAAATGTCCTGTGCATCAAAAGACACCATCAACAGAAAAAGGCAACCCACAAAAGGGGAAGAAATATTTACAAATCATATATCTATCTGATAAGGGATTAATATCCAGAATATATAAAGAGCTCCTACAATTCAGCATAAAACCCAAACATCCCAGTTCAAAATTGGGCAAAGGACCTGAATAGCCATTTCTCCTAACGGCTAATAAGTACATGGAATGATGTTCCACATCACTAATCATTGGAGAAATGCAAACCAAAACCACAATGAGATAGCCCTTCACACACGTTAAAAACGGCTATTATAAAAAAATTAAAAATCACAAGTGCTGGTGGGAATATACAAGAATTGGAACCCTGTGCATTGCTGGTGGGAATGTAAAAAGGCTTCGAAGGAAAACAATATAGCAGTTCCTCAAAAAATTAAACATTGAATTACCACATAATTCCACTTCTGGATATATGCCTATGTGAACTGAAAGCAGGGACTGAAGCAGATATTTACAAAATTATTTGCAATAGCCAAATGTGTTGGTTTTAGGCATATAAGGGGTAGCTTTATTTCTTGGTCTTCCTGAGAGCTTTAAGAGAAATTTTTTTTTCTAGGAAATGAGTTTTAATTCACATACTGATCACCAATTAGTCTGTCACTCAAGAAGTCACAAAAAACAAACAAACAAACAAACAAACAAACAAACAAAAAACAAAACACAGCAGCCTCAGGCCTGGGGTATGCATTTTTGTTTCTGGTTCTCTAACAGAATCAAAACTTGCAGCAGGTCCCAGCTAAATTTTCAGGAAATTTACATTCAGGAAAAGTGTGACAACTTCTGTAAATAAAAGGGAGATTTTCTTTTTGTACTGTAAGATATTGTAAGTGCAAAATATGTCCAGAATAAAGGTGTAAAGTTCGGGTAGGCTGAAGTGCTTTTCAAAATGCAAGTTCCTCTAGAGGGAAATGCAAGAAAATTTCTAGCGATTGAAGAACAATGCAGATCAAAAACACAATAAAGAGAGGAGAAAGGCTACCAGCCAAAACAAAGGGAAGGACCAATGCTTTGTGGGAACTCCTGGGAGAAAAATAATTTTTTAAATAAAATAGCCATTTTAGTTCTGTGTCTTGGTTTCCGAACGTTGGAATGTGGCTAGACAGCAGACGCCATCATCATAAGGCTGGCAGTGTTTTCTATGATGCCCCATGACTGCAGACAGAGCGCCTGGGAGTGTCCTTGGAAATCAAGGACACACCACATGTTTGGAAGCTTCTAGGTGAGAGCCTAGAATAACTCCCACGTGAAAGCAGAAAGATGCTGTTCTGTTGGATTCTCTTTCCCTTGCCCCTACCTCTACTCTGTTGCAGAGTCCACTGGAAAAGCCTCTGGGATGACCTGAGATTGATACCCTCCAAGCTCCCTGCCCGCATGCCGTCCTGGGAAGCCATTTCAAGCATGGGGCTCAGACGGTTCCAAGCCTCCTGGTGAAGATTGTTGGAGACAGGACTCTGAAAATGCTCTAGGGACCTGAAGGGGCTCACAACTGTAAGGGGATATTATTCTAAGGTAAAAAATGCAGGCACATAGGGGGCTAAAGATAAAGCCCACTATGTCCCAGATTTGGCTGCTAAGTAAACAGCAGGAGCAAAGAAGGTAGCAATCATCCAGCAGGGGAGCCAAGGCTGGAGGTGCCCAGGGCTGCTGGAGAGACTCCAGGGTGGACCCAGGGAGGTGTGTGAATGTCTCATCATGCACAGGGGCTCTCTCCGGACTACCCAGGCCCTGGCCTTCCTGCTCCTTCTCTTGCCTCCAACGACCACCTAGATATTTTTGTATTCTTTCACCTGTTTCCCTTTCCCCTACTTATCTGAATGCCCCTGCCCCTTCGCCAGCCAGGGTCCCTTCGAATCCCATTTCTCTTAAGAAATCTTTGCTGCTCATTCAACCAGCAAGCCTTTGATGGCACCTACTTTACCAGGAGTTGCAGGCGGTGGGGCAGAAATAAAGCAGGCTGATTTTTGCCCTTGTGTATCCTGTGGCCCCAAACAGGAAATCATCACGACTCCGTGTCTGGGGAAGCCATGGTGCTTTGTGCCATCTGCCTCAGGGGCCAGAGAGAAAGAGACACTCGGCCTAGAACTCAAGTCCTACAGAATTCCCAAGAGAAGTGGGCGATGGAACCAGTGCTGGTCAAGGGCTTATTCTGTGTCTCTCCCTGGACCAATGGTTGTGAGTCTCAGGTAATCTCACAAATATAGCTGAGGAAAGGGGCTCTGGGGGACACACCGTCTTGTCCCCCCACTGAGGGCGTCCACAGGCTTCTCTCTCTCACCCTGTGGCCTTGCCTGGCTCTGCTCATTCATGGGCCTGCAACCCATCATTTACCTGCACACGCTGTGTCTGCTGTGCCATCCACGTGTGGGAGCCGCGTGCCCACCAGGAGAGTCCATTGGACAGCTCCAGAAGAGGAAAGCTCAAAGAAGAGCTTGCTAGGGTGGCTCTGAAGGGTGGGTCCAAGCCTCCTGCTGTTGGCCTGAGGCGTGTCTGCCGGCCAGGTGGAACATGGGACCCAAGGAGGTGATGGGTGGTTCAGGGGGCAGCGGC